TACACAGTATATATATATATAGTTATAATTTTTTACCATTATTAATTTTATAGCCATATTGATATATAATCACAAAATTCTGGCCAAATTGTGCAGCACAGTAAAAAATAAATATATAAATAATTAATTGCATTTTCAATTGCTATTTAATTTTTAATAAAAAAAATATCACATTTCTTCGCCAAATCATGCAGCCATAACTACCATGGTACATATTCAAAAACACAGCATTACCTTGGTACTGTGTAAATAACATGATAGTACTATGGTACTCTTTTTGTTAACATCAAATTTCATAACTACCAGCTAGAAATTGTTTCAGTGTCTCGACGATCTCAACAAAAGAAGGCAATTTTAGTAACTGGAATTTACCAATTCTTATTCTCTGTCTGTCTCAGCTTGCGTCGAGTGTGGCAGCGGGGCGGTCGTGGTTCAAAGGTGAGGCATCGGGGCGGCACAATGGAGGGCGAGCAGAGTACTCCTGCCTCCAGTGCCAGCAGCAGTACAGGCACCAGTACCTCCACCACAAACTCCACAGGCACCTCCACTGCCAGCACTGTCAGCTCCAGCAGCAGCAGCACGAGCAGCGGAAGAGCGGCCGTTCCACAGATATCTGTATACAGCGGCATACCTGACCGACAGACTGTACAGGTGCGCGTCACACTCACCCTAAAACATTACCATCACTTCAAATATAGACAACGGAGTTCAGAAATGCATAGTAATTGTGTTGATAATATTTGCGTGCATGCTTGCGATTCACCACATCTCTCTTGTCAAACTTTCTTGTATAATCACTCACTGCATTGCACCACACATCACTTTTTTATTGCTTAAATGTTTAATTATTGGATTTTTAATCCATACTGCCATCTGCTGGTGTGTTTATTACTGCAGTCAGAAGGGGAAAGACAATGATTTCCATGCTTCATGTTCATATTTTTTCCTCTGTTGTGGAGTTATTGTTTATTATTGACTCAAGGGTTGACCTTTGACCTCTCCCTACTAATAAATTAAGAGGCTGGGAATTAGACACTGTTGCTAGATTTCAGCCGAATGTAATATTAATAATATTTTATCCTATTTAAACACAGTAATTGTAGTACATTTATGAGTAAATCTCTTTATTTTTTAAATAATAACAATAATAGTAATATGAAAGGTCCTATACGTTGCTGTTGTTATTATTATTAATATTAATATTGTTATTAATAATGATGATGATGTAGTATAGCACACTTCATGCATAAAATGCTGCTCAAAGTTAATGACATGAGTTAATGGCAAAAATGGCAACATCCAATCAATCCAAAGTAGTTCAATTATTTAAACTGCACCCCCCCATGTTCACTTAATTGTGTAAAGAAACCTAAATATATTTCTATCTTTAAAAATTGTGATACATATGATAGTGACATAAAATGTACTGGAAACAGGTAAGACCCAGCTGCTTCATTCAGAGTATACTCAGTTCAGTGCACGATCAGACACAAGCAGCACTGCTCATTAAACTCATTTCAGGCTGCACTCTACTCACACCAAGACCAGGGGTCAGGAATCCTGTTGCCTAGCAACTGTGCGGTTGTGGGCAGTTCAGTGAGGACATAAAGGAAGTGCGGGATGACGGAGAACACATTATAGCTGGGAGAAAAAGATAGGGAGGTATCATTAGTGATGAGAGCGATGCACTTATCTACACTGTCATCATATACAGAACATGTATTTTGAACGTCTGCTCTTGTTCAGGTATTTTGGCATCTTGTTTTGATATTGTTCTGAATGTTTTTGTCATATTATGGCATGCTAGCTCAGAATCATTAGCAACTGTTAATCTAGGTAGGTTCTCATTCCTTGTCCACAAGGTTTGCAATCTTTATTAAATAACATTATTATTAGAGTATGACAATACAAAAAATTATTTTTATATTGGATGTTTAAGTATCTATTTGGTTGTCATTACACAAAAATATCATAAAATGTAACTGTTATCCTATACAGTGTCAATGCATTGTTGTTCTTATTCGTTATTAGACTTGCAGTGGCATATGTGCATAAAGAAGCCTTGTAATACAGTGGCTAATATTAAACATCTTCCTATTAAATTAATATTAATATTATGATAATATAACCATATTAAACATCAAGGCTGACCTTGAAAGCAATATGGGAAATGAAATACAACAGAAGAATCAGAGATCCGCTTCTTTTTCTTGTTGCAGTTCATTTTCAGACCAAAAGGAGGAGACAAATGCATATTATTGAGACTATGTGTGATGAAACAAAAAATTGCCAAGTAAACATTAAAAGATTAGGATTGTAATCTGACCTATAACAAACATTCGAAACCACCTTGAATCACAGCTTGCAACTTGCAGCTACTTATGTTTTAAATATCAACTTTTGTCACACATTTTTTATCAATGGTGAATACAATAGAAATACGTGAGACAATGGTTGACATACAGCAAAGGTACAGAGCTATAAAAAATGCAGACATGTCTCCACATTTATATTGAAATCTCTGACTTTGATTGGTATCTTGGCAAATATGAGCAGAGTTTGAGACACTACTGAGATTGAAACTCTGGAGTAGATGTGAGATTACCAAAAAAACAACAACAACAACAACAACAACAACAAAAACCTTTAGAATCTGGCGACTTCAGCTAAAGTCTCCATTTGCACTCCATCCAATCTCATCGCTCTCTATACGTGAAGCAAGAAAATAGTGAGATCGAATCAGGTTTCTCACTTTTCCTCTGTCTCTCTTGAATGGTAGGTGATCCAGCAGGCTCTACACAGGCAGCCCAGCACAGCGGCGCAGTACCTGCAGCAGATGTATGCAGCTCAACAGCAGCATCTGATGCTGCAAACGGCAGCTCTACAGCAGCAGCACCTCAGCACAGCGCAGCTGCAGAGCCTCGCAGCAGTGCAGCAGGTCAGTTAGCATCCATAGTCTCCTACAGCAAGCATAAAACTCTCAAATATACTCTTACTCTCTCTGTTATGTTTCTCCCTCTTAGGCCAGTTTAGCAGCCAGCAGACAAAACCAGAATGGGACCTCATCTACGCAGAGCGGGCCATCGCAGACCACAGTGAGCTTTTATTTGGAAGCAGCCTCTAAAAACAAGCACATAATCACGTCAATATCTTTGTTTGCATGTGACATAACATTCAGGCTGCTCATGTCACAACTCTTGTCTCTCAGATTAATTTAACTACGTCCCCTGCCTCTGCTCAGCTGATCAGTCGTGCCCAGAGTGTAAACTCCATCCCCTCTGGGATCTCCCAGCAAGCTGTGTTGCTAGGCAACGCCTCAAGCTCCACCCTGACAGCCAGCCAAGCTCAAATGTACCTGCGAGCACAGATGGTGAGCATACCTGTATAGCCAAAAACACAAGAATCTTTCATGTTTGTGAGGTTGCTTTCCATATTTTATGTATATTTAAGGAGTGAAATACTCACTTTTAATCAGTCATTGCTTTTTGCTAAATGCCAGAAATAAGTAGGATGAATTCAGCTATATTAGGCCACTGATAATTGGTGTGAACATCATTTTACTGTGTTTTTAAAGTAACGTTAAATGTACTGTCTAGATAATTACTCCAAACTTTTTCAACGTACACAATAAAACAGTCCAAAATGAAAATAATTTGCAACTATTTTACATTTATTGCATAAATAAATAATAATGATCTGCTAAATGACTAAATGTAAATATAATGGTGTAAACAACAATAGTTCTAATAATTAATAAAGATATGCATAATGCATGTTTTTACTGTTGTAGTCTAATGATCACATAGTTATTACAGTGTCAAAAGGAAGAAATGATGCAACAATTAGAAATGGTTCTGCATATTGGTTATTCAGACATAAAATGTGTATTACAGGCCATATCAGTCAATCTAGTGGCACTATTTACTTGAATTCATCCAACTAAGATGTTAAAATCAGGGGGGACAATAGCACTCCATATACCTTCTAAGTGAACTATAATAATTTTGCTTTACTTAAAGCCTTTATGTGTAATGCATCATAAGAGTAGTTTTAATGTATTTATTATGCATTGTAATGCACCTTATAACGCATGGTATGTTTTAAAAAATAATTATAATACATTATAATACTAACTAATCTACTGACTGTTAAACCTGTGGAAAGTATAATGCATTATAACTCATGACGAACAAACCTTCAAATATTATAATGCATTTTACTTTTGGTTACAATTATTTATAAAAAAGATATAATGCATTGCAATGTACATTATAAATACCTTTATAATATGTTATACATAAAGGCTTTAAGTAAAGTGGTACCACAATTTTTCTAGGGATAAGCTGTTTGATCAATAATGATGATTCCAATTATTTTTATGTTATAGCCAGTAACTGATGCTGGCCTATCAATTTATGCATCCAAATGTACTACAGAAAAGGGCTGATATTTAATACTTTGGTATTAAATTGCTTCTGGTAATTAGTAGTTTATTAGTTACCTAATAGTTAATTTTTTAACTGAAAAAAAAAACTAATATTATCTGCTTTTATTATTAACCAGCGGATCCTGATAATTAAAACTGCTATACTTATGATGGTTGATGCTGCATGAGCATTCATTGGCTCCTGTGAACAATCTCTCTAGATCATATCTAGATCAACCCAATTATTATGGAGAGTTTCCTGAGGACGTGGTGTTAATGAGCATCTTTATGTGTGATTATTTTAGGCTCAGCAGAGTAATCTTGTGCATGTAGCCAGGAGTCTGGGCCGAGCCGTCCCTCTGTCCCCTCAGCTGATTCTGGCTCCTACAGCTACAGTAACTGCTCTACAGTCTGACACTAATACAGCCAATAACACACAGTCTGCCTCCGCACAGGTACACACACGCATGCTGATATACACTACTGTAATACATGCACATTCAAAACGTACCCACGATTTTACAAACATTTCTTATTTGCATTCATGAATATGCTGTGCTTAAAACAATTCTCTTCATGAAACATTCAAAAAATTGTGGATTTCTTGAATCACAAATCCTAAAGGAACATTTACAGAATGACTTGGTATTTCAATTATAATATTGAACATTTATTATACATGTATTGATTCAGCAGACTTGTTTATCCAGAAATACTTTACGGAATCAATGCTAAAAGATCCTAAAAGGAATATTATACATTACCAATATACCACAACACAAAATTATATTTTATATTTCGATCTTTTAGTTTGTCAGTAGGATAAAATACTTCTTATTTGATTAGGATTACGATCATTATGACTGGCTCCAAATTATAACAACAATTCCAAAAGGAATATTGTGCATATTACTTTAGGATCTTTAGCCTATGTGATTCTGTGCAAAATATAACTTTAAATACTACAACTCAAATGTTTTGTTATATTTGAATTTAAAGGTTTATTGGCCGATTTATGACTGTCACAGGTGCAGAACCTTGCCCTGCGCAACCAGCAGGGGGTGTCTTCCACCTCTCAGTCCTCAGGCCTCCAGGCACTGAGTTTAAAGCAGACCCCTGTCTCCATTCAGCCCACCCCGCTCATCAAGACACCCAGCCAGAGTGCTTCCTGCTCAGACACTGGGAAAAGCAACGTGAACGCTGCTTCCTCGGATGGAGTGAAGAAGGGAGAGGAAGGGCAAACAGAGATGAAAGCACTTAACATGAGTCGTAATGTGTCCTCGTCACATCCCTTAATCGCACCAGGTAAACTCAGACCCATATGGCCTATAGTGCTGCTAAAAATATTGCAACACTTATGCTATTTCCTAACCCTAAAGTAAACTATTCCACTTTGCTGAGGCATTTTTTGCAATGACGAGTGTTTTTTAGTGGATTTAAGAAGTTACAGTGACGTCTCTCACTTTGGTTAACATTTGAGCCAGTAATGTTGCCATCAAGCACCTTTTGTCAGACGTGGTCCAGAAAATGTTGTGCGCGCACATTTGGTCTTTAAACAAACCGAAAGGTTCAATTCACTTCAACAGAAATGCTTTCTGACATATGCACTCTAATAAGATCCAGCTTCACTTGTCTGTCCATCACATCACACACTAAGTACCAAAGAAAGGAGAAATGCACCCAAGGCTAAATTTGTTCTACATGGCTTATGCTCAAGTGCATTAAAGCATACGTGGCATTTGAAGGGCACACACTTTCTCAAATAAGTCTTTCAGTGCCTGTCAACATCTGACATACACACCATCCATCATTCCACTGGTCTCTAATCATAACAGCTCAAACAGGGAAATTATCCTGCACATTTAGAAGCAGGTACTTGGGCGTGTCAAGGCCGGTAGAGACTTTGCTATGTGTTTAGTTGTGCTTTGGTAGAAGACTAAAAAAGGCCTCAGATTTTTGTTTACAATAAGTATCTTAGGGTAGCTCCAGGGTCTAATATTAGCACCAGTCAAGTGCCAAAAGAAGTAAAAATAGGCCTTTTGTGGAGTATTGTGTGACCAAATTAAATCCAGGCCATAAAAAAATTGTAATAAAACCTTAAAACTACTAATGCAAGATACATTTTCACATCAGTTCCCAAAAAAAAAAGATGAAAAAAAAAAGCTTTCGCATTCCAGAAAAGAAAAATTCTGGAATAAAATTATTCATAAATATTGATGGCTGTGACTAATGGCTACTGGCTATTTAAAAGAGGTCATGTGTAATGACACATTTACGTCAACTCGCTTCATTTCAGTTTCTCATTAGAGAACTGCATTTCTTTCACATTATACTATGTCAGTGATCGTTTGCAGGTGTAAGGTTTATGCCACTGTTTATGCACACAAATAACCAGAATGAATGAAGATTAAACAAGCTTCAACTTGATTGAACAAGTGTGTTTGAGAGGGTCCAAGTGAGCCTCAGTGGAGAGGAAGGGTAAAAACCTGACATGTGTGTTGGGATGTAGTTTCCATAGCAGTGTGCTCCAGAGAGTTGATGTGATGCGTGTTATGATTCACGGTTTTCCCCTTGTGCATTAACGATATTCACAGAAACTCATCCTGGATTATTCTCTTAGATGAATCATTCAGTTTGCTTTTAAGAAATGTCCAAATGTTATAAAAATCTGAATATTAGATTAAAAATTATGTGAATGTGGATACTGGAAAGAGACTGGACTGGAGATTTTGCTCTAAAAAATCGAACTAATTGCTTGTACATCTCTTTAGAATATGATTCCCAACTGACTGTCAGATTTCACTCCTCGCTTTTGTTTTGTAGGAACTGGCAAAGTCAAAACCAGTAAAAATAGCTTGTTTTGAAGTTGAATGTATTCTCTATTTTGATACTTTTGTTTGTATCAAATAATTGAAACTATTCTATTGAATACAACCACACATGTTAAAAGAAAGTAGGAAAGAAAAGAGCCAGATATTAACATACCGAATATTGTACTGCACTCAAACTACTAAAGTGAAAATGACATTACTTATTGTAGAAAAATGCCCCCACACAGGAAAATCTTGCTCAAAAATTGCTTCTCATGGCTCAGGAGCACAGTTTGAGACACTGATCTCTTCGAAAACCCTAGAGGAGACGCAGGTCTTTTATCTCAGGTCTTTATCTGGGATCTTTATCTGAGGAAAAGTGTGTCTCTATTCACAAGAAACATATTAGATTTGGCCCATCATGTGAGAAAAAATAGATATTGTATGTCTTCAAGCATATGTCATTGTTTTAATGTGTTATGTGTTGTGGCTTTGCATATAGCTGAACGTTCGGCAGGAAATTTCGGGGTTTTCCAGGGTTGCGCTCTGCAGGGAATAACTCATCAACTCCTTATTCTGAACATCCGGGAGAAAGAAAGAGTGAGAGAAAGTGAGCACAGAGGATTGAGTCATCTGAACACACCATCCCACACCATTCACATTAGACGGAAGAACATTCCCACACTGAACCTTTTCTGTTTGCTATTAAGAGTTTTAAAGAAAGACTGTATTTGTTCCTGACGTCTGCTTCCCATATCCGGTGTTCATTTCATGTGACAGAACACACACACGTATATATATAAACATAAAAACCACACGCTAGCTAACTTTCCAGCCAGTTGGAGTTCTTCAGATTCTTTTACCACTCATAAACTTTTGAGGTTGTGATCTCAACGTGCCCAACCCACAAGGTTTTGTGTTTGAATGTTCTCCTGCTGAGTTAATATTACATTTTAACACACTTTCCTGCAAGTCCTCCAGTCAAACATAGTTTTAAAACTCATCCAGTTTCCAATGTCGTAGTCCTGGATACAGAATTTGTACTGGAAAACCCAAGCACAGAGACGAATGTTATTAGATACAGCAAAAAGCACAAACTGAACAACAAAATAAAATAATTAAAAAAAAAAAAAATTTATTGAGATATAATCAAGGTTCCCACACATTGGACTCAAGGAATTGCAATGACTTTTCCATGTACTTTCCAGATGTTTATGATTTCCTGGATAACTATTTTAAAGAATCATTTATATTCAGACTGATTCACTACTGAATCAATCAGATGGATTTGTGAACTGGTTCGAAATGGATTCATTGACTAAATGAATTTGCTTACAAATCAGAATTAACTTATGGCTTGCAATGTCAGTGTCAGGATCATGGACTGTCTATGTCATGTTTTGCCCGTTTCTGTTCCCTTATTTGGTCATGTTCCTGTCCTCGTTTTGTTAATTAGTTTGATTAGTCATCCCATACACTTGTGTTTCCCCAATCATCCCCTGTATTTAAGTCCTAGTCTGTGCAGTCTGTCTCTGTCGGTTCTACTTGTTATGTTTATGTGTTTCCTGCCGTTCCCTGTGTTTCTTGGATTAAAGACTGTTTCGTTTATTCCTCGTCTCCATCGTTCCTCGCCATCACAGATTGTGACAGAAGAACCGACCAATAACAGTTACCACCGTGTTTTCCCCTTCGTTTGTTTCCTCGTTTTTCTCAGTGTTTTTGTTTCCGTTGTGTTTCCCTCATGGATGCCCTCCTTCGCCCGGAATTTCTCCTCCTCCTGCTGGAGCAGGGGGAGAGATCGCTCGAGGACCATACTAGACTGTTCCAGCTGCTAGCTAACAGCACCAGCTACCC